TTGACTTTTATTTGAACATTTGGAGAGCTTATTTCCGTTGACAATAGAGCCTTTTTTAACCGTCCTGGAGAGCATTAAAGAAATGGATCACCCACACTTCACCCCACCACAAGTAGTATACCAGTGTTGCTGTCAGTCATACTGTGCAATGATCGAAACTATCTATAAAAAAATGTATTCCTGGAATTTTTTTTGGTCATTATACGAATTAAAAGTCTAAATAATAAGTGATTTTATGTTATTCATCAAACCCCTGTATAGTACATTACACTGGCAAAACGGCCTACAGTGAAATAATCTCAACTGTAGCCCTGTGCAATGTTAGCATTATTAAGAGAAAATGTAGTTAAATTAAAGTGTGGACTTTACATATTGAAGTTTAACTAACTTTAATATCTCCATGTCCTCATTAGGGCTACCACAATATAATATTTAACAGTACAATGTTACATGTCACGATTTGACAATTATTAGATTAGTTTCCCACAACTTTGTAACTGTATTACGTATATTTATTGTATTGTTTCTGTGCTTTGCTCTAATTAAAGTATGTAGGAACAGCACTTCAAATATCTTCAAATAGGGTGAATTAAACACATTCCTACCAACAAATATTTCCAAATATAGTAACTTTACAATCAATAATGCTCAAAATGTGCATTTTGCAAGTAAAACGAAAATAACTAAATAGCCCAACAGTCTATTTTCCAAAAAAACAATGACGTCATATGAATGCCATGCTATTAATGGTTCCATAATATTTAGCAAAACACTTATTGAATGGATAATATATATTTGTTTAAATACATTTTATCAGGAACGACAGTATTTACGAAAAATAAAACGAGCAATGCTAATCCCAACATAACGATACATTGAAACACGGATGATGCGATTACCGTGGGTACGATATATACTACGATACATATCATCTCTATATATAAAAGGGAAATTTGTGATTATGTCTGTCTGTTCAAATGTTTAGCGTACTTCCCTAAATGCAACAAACTTGAAATTTGCCATGTGGGTACTTTCCAGACTGTACACCATGCAAAAATTATAAATATAGACTTTTCTATTTTTTTTGGGTGGGGGGCAGGTGCGCTCAATAATGCATATATTTTTTGCACAGAAAGTGAGCTGTGATGTCACATCTGTAATGTGACCCGTGTGCGGAAGCGAAACTCAGTGTGCCTGCTGATCGCGGGCAAAAGTGAAATACAAATGTGTTGCAGGTCGAAGGCGTTTTCGCGCAGCATTGGTTTATTATTTCAGTCGTTTACTGCCGTACGCACCCCGAAAGTTGCGTGTGTCTGCAGCAAAGCGCGTGTATGTGTACCTATGGTTAGCGCGCTGCGCTACGAACCCGGCGACCCGAGTTCGATTCCCGCTCACAGTCACCACCGGTGACGATTATTTGAACCGGTCCTGGGCCTCCCCTAGGTCGACTCAGCCTCAAACGAGTAACTGGTGTGGTGTGTGAACATCGCCACTGGGGAGACAAAGGCGGCCGGGCGTGGTGAATCCAAGTCCCGGGCAGTAAAGCTAGTAGTATATATCGTAGTGTCGCAGATACCGTGGCAACCCGACATCTCATATTTTTTTTTCATTTCTTGCTCTTTGCCTGACGTTCTGAGCTTTTGGGCCTATGCCCAGCAACTTGTGTTAACATATATACTGTTTAAAATAGTGCTGGGCGGTGCTTATCTTAATTTATATTCCTTCACAAACGGTGGACATTCCACATTGTTTTGTGCGAACAAACATTCGACCCCGGGATTTAAAAGTGTCCAATTGCAGAAACGATCTTCGACTGCAATGTCACCAAAAGCCGGCCATAGGAGCATTGCATTGTCAGGGAACAACCGCAGAATACAACGCCACAGCTTTACAATGGTGTTATTAAGTGGTAGAGAGACTTATTTTTTAAAATAATTCAGTAACCTACATCGGTGTGATCTTGCTAAAAAAAAAAAAACAGAGTGAATGGATGGATCATTGTTCCGTTTGTATGGGGTAGAATGTTGCCCCCTTAGCAGGAGTGGGTTTTTCTGCACCGGTTTCCCACCCCTCTCCCCCCCCCCCCTATGTAACCACTCAATAATTAGCCATTAACACTGTAATATATTGATGATCACAGAGTGTAATTTTTCGGGCGGGGTGGAATTTGGCACGGCACACAGAGTGGCTGCCTCTCCCGCTTGTCTGTGGTGCCTCGTGCCTTTGAGTCTTCTTCTCTCTTTAAGACCGATCAGTCACTGTGCAACGTGTTACAAGTTGACATGATTAGTATTAGTAGTAGCATTATGACCCGAATACTAATGTCGGAGTGTTTTTTTTCTTCCAGATGTTTGTACTCGAGGGCAGATCCAAGTCATCTGTGAAAGAGAGCTTCATAGCTTATCGGATTTATCCAGGATAAATACAGATTCTGATTCAGTGGTGCCTTTGCCCAACTACACAATAGCCGCGCAGCGAACCGTTATTTGTTTATAAGTACAAATGAATTCTACTGATGAATTCAACTGGAATTAAAAAGCGACACGGTGAAAGCATGTACAAGCGGGTGTATCGGCTGCACCGAGACAAAACGTACATCGATTCATCTCGGACTCTGGCCAATAAGCATGCACAACGTTAATCCTGCTCCTTTTATGGTAGAGCACAACGTCCGACTGTCACCTTTACTCTGACCAGTGCCGGATTATCATCGTAGCAAAAGTAGCTACATATGCTACGGGCCCAGCACTTTCAAGGGTCCTGCGCTAAATGCTTTCAAGTTATCAATTCCTGTTCAGTGATTCTGCACTTGCTGTATTACTATAATACTATACTGCCTTCAACTTTTATGAACGACTGGGTATTTAAGGTTAGCGATTACCTGGCTGTATAGCAAATGAAAAAAATCCAATTACTTTACTATGCAAGTAAAAAAATGTATGTGTTTTAATATTTACTTTTTTTAATTTAGGGCACCTTTATAATATATGCTACAGGCCGCGCACGAGCTTAATCCGGCACTGACTGACCAATTCACCACCCACACCCAGTGTAAGTGTTCGTGCACAGCGGTGCGGCTGTCACTTTCTCTTGGCGATCAAAAATGTTTCGTTCTAATGTACAGCAAGGTGCCCTTAATATCGCTTGCATTTGTTTACTTCGAGAGCTGCTTGTGCTTGATATTCACATATCTTCTTTGGTTCTTTCGGTAAAGTCACGTAGAATGAGAATAAAATAATAAATTGATAAAATAAAATAACACAATAATATTCTCACGACGTTTCGGCCACAACACAAGCGGCCTTCATCAGGGGAAGGGACGAGACTGTCTGGTAGGACAGCGCTGGAGTGAAAGAGCCACGTTCAGATCACGGCCTTTAAGCCTCAACTTTAGCCGTGATCTGAACGTGGCTCTTTCACTCCAGCGCTGTCCTACCAGACAGTCTCGTCCCTTCACCTGATGAAGGCCGCTTGTGTTGTGGCCGAAACGTCATGAGAATATTATTGTGTTATTTTATTTTATCAATTTATTATTTTATTCTCATTCTACGTGACTTTACCGAAAGAACCAAAGAAGATGAATCATTGCAGTCACGAAAGCTTTAAATCGAAATTCACATATCTGACCGTTTGCCATACCCACCAACACCTCATTCCCTAGTGCGTCACGTGTGCGACATTGTACTTGTATTCAGTTCACTTTTTTTGGTAGCAGACAGGCATAGCCTTTCAGTTTAACACGTAGGCTTTTGCGACCAATATCATCCATAATATATATATTTTAGATCGCGTAATTACGTGGACGCAGACAATAACAGGTTCTGTTATTTTATTTTGCACGCAAACGACAGGAGGTACAAGAACAATGAGCATGCATAATGCGTATGCGTAATGTACGATGATTACCGTATGAATAACCCAACCGGCAATGACTACCCATGAAGGGCTGACAAGTGACGTCATTACATCTACCTCTTTAAGAAACGAAACAGGAGGATTTCTCCACAAATCTGGCTGTCGCCTGATAAAGCTAGTTGTAACTACTGGCGAAACGTCGTACTCAGATTGTAAATGTTCTGGATTTACTCTCCAACGCACCGATGCGCTGTCCCGAGTAACGAATTGGCATGTTCTGTTTACATGACAAACATTACTAATTGGCTGTGTCAGGTGGTGGCGGGTTTAACCACACATTTATATTTATGCAATCTAACCCCAAAAAACGTATATTATAGACTTTCAGATATTCAACTTGTAATGTATTACTGAATCAAATGTTACCCCAATGCATCATCCCAATGATAGGCTCTGAACGCATTCTCATCCAATGTCGGCCTCTCAACACGAGCGACTTTGGATGGAGCCGAAGCAACTTCGCCCAGTGCTGCTGTCGTCATCACGGGCACACATTTAGAAACATTGCCACGATGCATACGGGGGTGTCACCAAGTTGCAGATTCGCCTTTCACAAAGTACTGAGGACACAGGCAATTAAGAACAACGAGCTGCTCTTCTAAAGTGCCGTTGTGCATTTGTTTTGCCACCATCTTTGATCACGCCTCTGAATCTTACGGAAAAAAAGCTGCGCACGTTACAAATGCGTGCATTTAACGGGGCCGTCCATAAATGACGTCACGCAATTTTTGACGATTTTTGACCCCTCCTCCACCCCCCCCCCCCCCCCCATAGCCACACGGTGTCACAAAAAGTAGGACCCCCATTCAAAAATGACGTCACAAAGCTCTGCCCCCCCCCCCAAAAAATAAAATAAAACATGCTTCAAATCGTTTTAAACTATTGTCATTGAAGTGCGTATCTAATGTGCCGCTGCACTCTGATGTTGTAGGAGAAAACATTTATTAAAAAGTCTATTTAATTAAGTAGAACGTGTTGACTATATTTGTTTAAAGTTTCGCATTTTGATGTGACGTCACATTTCTCAACCCCCCCGCCCCTCGTCACACATAGTCACAAATGTCTGACCCCCCCCCCTCCCCTAGGTGCGTGACGTCATTTATGGACGGCCCCTAAGATCTTCCATCGAGTGGCAAAACCGGGGTAAATATTGCAGGATTATGGTCTGTTAAAACTGACATACGTTCAAAAATGTCCATAGAAATTCAAAGAGGCATACCTGAGCTTAGAACGGCAATGATCTGCCCCCCCCTCCCCCAAAGAAAATCCCCCCCCCCCCCACGTCTGCTCTGCTGAGTCCGGTGTGCCTGATACTGTCGACGTCCCTGGTAATGCCGTCCAGAACGTCAGGATTTTGTAATGTATGATGTGAGGGAGAGTGTGGAATACAAACATTTGATTAACAAAAGAAATTCAAACCTCATACTTCTGCAGTCACTTCAATAGATCCCTCTCGAACGTCGCCTGACAATATTCCTCGTTATGTACCGTAACCGCAACATATAAATACGGCATGTAATATATTCTATGTACAGCACATGCATATTCACGTTTATTTAAAGGGTTGTTATGAAAAATGTGATAACCCATGTTTATGTAACACATGCTGATTTTATTGAAACGATTTTAAATAGCTGTATAGCATCATCTTCCTCAAAGATTGCCATGCAATAAACCTACAAATTCACTAACTAACTAAAGTACTCTAAAAAATATGTTTGCGTTGTCTGGACATTTACTTGTAAGAACAGATTTAAAGACACAAAAATATACAATGCACGCACAATAATCATATCTACGTTTATTAATATAAATCCGTGATTACTGTCACTCCATGTGACATGCAAACAACATGGCAATGTTCCTCAGGATAATGTGATTCAAATGTTATGTTTAATCACATTTCTGAGTGGCCAAAAGCAAGCATTGTAAAGATCTGCTCTGGATAGAACAATATTAAACATGTTTAGTGAGACAAATGTAGGCTTCTGAAAGTCAGCAATGCGGATTGCATTGTTTAAAAAAAATTGATTCCCAAAATAAATATTTTCCATCTTGTAAAGAATATGATCCTTGGCAGGAAAATTTCATTACTTTGATTTATGTACTGTAACACTCAAATCGGTGTCACGATCACAGAGGAATGTGACCAATTTAAATCAATCTATTGAATCAATTCCTTTATTTAAACCCAGGTGACATCGCATCGGAATAATATGTTCATTTGATGGAGATACCCAACTAATCAATCATGTTGAAGTCAAGTCAGGGTGTGTCTATGCTTAAATACGTATTGGTTATGGCCCGTATATCCTTTTGGCAGTAAAAAAATCCACATTCTCATAGTGGGGACCAGTAATTGTACCACGACGATTGTTAAGTTCCCGCACGGTAGTGCTCAATAGAAGAACGTGAGGAATGATAGTGCGAGTCGAAATTGGAGTTCGTTCATGTTCATAAAAAGTGTCTCTTTGCTCAAATCAGTACTCCCAACAATGATCATATATGTTAATGATTTTGAGTCTGTTGATGATGGTGTTTACGTTGCTGTCCTTACAGTTTAGTTTGTTGTCCTTCCTCGCATCTCCGATTAGCACGGTTGGCTATGTACAGTGCAAAAGAAGTTCAACATACATACATGATCTGGGGCACTGTGATAGCGAGATGTTAACCACCTCGCCTGGTATGCAGGAAGCCGTGGGTTCGATCATGACCATGACGCCTGTATATTTGGAGTTTGCATGTTCTCCCCATGTTTCCCCCATGGTTGGGTAGATTTTTCTCCAGGTCCTCCGGTTTTTACCTCCGCATTTAGAAAAATGTGTTTTGAGTATATAGCTGCTATACATTTCCACATATAGCAGCTAAATACTTCGCCGAGATATTTATTTGTGGCCAGGTCGCTTCTGAAAATGAGCTATATAGCTCAGTGGGCCTTACCTGGTAAAATAAAAACGGTGAGTTTAGTTTAGAGTTAGTGGTATTCATTCTTCACTTTCATATTTGACTTCCAACACTGTGTTGATAATTTTAACAACCTCATAGAAATGACAGGGTGAGTCAAACCTTGACTTGAATTTTTGGTCACAACTTGTGAATCAAGCACTCTAACGACACTGGCACAGAAACTGATTAAGCCTAACACTTAATTATAATTCATGCATATCAAAGTATGGCCATGACACGGACAAATAGTGGCCTATCATGAATGTTGTTACAGGGTCTTGTGATCTTTACAGCATAAGGAATATCTTGGTAATGATCTTACTGTGGCACTACTGTGGTTGACTAGAACCTTTATCGTACTATTACAAATGATATTGAGGTGGAGGGTCCGTCAGAGTCCTGAACTCTTCCCTCATACGAGGGCTCGTCCACTCACCAGGCCCCATAAGCTGAACCACCCAACTCAGTACCAATTTGTGGGAAGTCTGCAGCGGTAATCCTCTGGACATTGATTGTGGAATTTCCATCACTGACTCAGGGCTTCCAACAGAGATGACCATCGCCTAAAGCCCATTTGAGCACAGAGTCACTCTGAGTTTGACCTGAATATTTGAACAGCTACTAGTGTAATGACAGTGCGGAGCAATAGCGGGACAGTGTAGATCCCGGGGACCATGGTTACTAATGGACGAGCTAATGAGGATTCATGACACGGGATCCAATGGCACGGAAGGGTGAGAAGGGCAGTTAGCGGCAGGGCCAGGTGCGGTGAGGAGGTGGATTGAGGAATAGCGCGTGGCCGGACCGGGCGAGGATAAATAGCAGCGTGAGCGGAGGCTCGGGGCTGCTTGGTGTGGGGAACTGCCATCGTCGTCGCCTCGGATCGGATCCTATCTCCATCGTCTGCAAGTTGTCTTGAGACTGGAAGCGGTGTTGTCTCATAATCGAGTGGTGTCAATACCCAAGTGTACGGAGTCAATCGCGGCTACGTGTTGCGTTGTCATTGAACTTTATTCTCAATAAATATACAGAAGACAAGACGGCGTCTCTGAGAGCCGCTTTACACTGATATTGACCCAATATAGCCATTTATACTGGTTTACAATCTACTGCTGAATGAAGACTTCCCGATGCCATATCGGTCGTAGGCGTTTGTTCAGATATCACTCACCACTGATGTTAGCCATGACCTCTACAAAAACAAAAACTAAAATGAAAGAAATTGGCTGACTGAAAGAGCATGGTGGTACCTCTGGGGTCCCATTGTCAAATCTGACCTATAGAGAAGATGTTGGATCTCATTTGTCTCAAATGGATCCTGTACAAAACCAATTTCATCCCTTCATAATGCTCTATGGCAGTGCCCAAACCCGTGTCAACACTCATGCCTAAGCACATTACACAAACAGTCTAATTGACGAAGGAAAGTTTCAACATTCATAGTTTGTTTTAATAATTATGAAGCTGTCCAACCAAAGTGTCACGTGGTGCTGATCACCCACCCCTTAGTATGCTTTCGGCTTTCACATGTGTTCGCTTACAGAACTTGCCCCAACAGTCTGTTAAGGCTATACGGGGATCTTTGTACATGTTAATGCAGTTATGACCATGGGTGCTTTGTGTGTGAATGTGGGGACGTATGGATTTCTGTTGAACTTATTTCGCACCGTACATGGTTAACCGTGATAATCAGAGGTGCGGGTGAAGGACAAAAAAATTTACTTAAAAAGCAGTTCTAAAGAAATTAGTTTTCAATCTTGATTTGAAAGTGCATAGCTTCCGTGGTTTTCGAATATTGGAAGGAAGAATGTTCCAGGCGGCCGCAGAAGTGCATCCGAAAGTGCACGATCCAGTGAACGTCTTTGTTTGATGGCTAGCCAAAAATCAGCTGCGAGGATGACCGCAGTCCACGTGATGATTTTACTCCTTGACGAGATCAGTAAGGTATTGTGGTTCATTGTGGCAAGCGCTTTGTGTGTAATGAGTGCGACCTGATAATGGATCAGTTCGGCAACTGGAAGCCAATGCAGCTTGGCAAGAAATGTTTCATGCACTGCGCAAAAAACATTTTTGTGACTATTGCACACATCAGTGGCTTGTGGTTTCAGAACTTTTTCTAAACCCCTCCTGGCCCGACTCGGCCTCTTAATGCATGCCTGGTGCAGTGTTCACACAATATCAGAAAAATCTATCACTTTTTGGGGGCATCGGTTGGTGGATCACATGGAGCTTGATTAAACTTCTAACCCTCTGGGCTGTTGGATGGTCAGCATAATTACAGTATAGCAAAGGATATGTTTGTACATTTGAGTGTTATCCCATCTGAACATATGTTTTATCTGGCTACTCCAATATCCTCCCACATGCCAAATGCTCTTAAATGTGAGACTTGGGACTCAGTGAGGCTTTCCTAGGAATACGACATCTGCTGAACCATCTTAATATTTGTCATTATTAATTTCATCTGCAGCAGCAACAGCAGCATCCATTTGTCAACACTTTAAGTATTCGTTCATCACAAAAATATATTATTATGTACCTGTTCGTTTGTCTACATTTCCACTTCCATCTTCCTATGTGCATGAGCCTCTGGCATATGGCAGACATTTCAGAGTAACTAAACTCCTGGAAAGTTGATGGAAAACTGCAGTTCGGAGGCACTTAAGATGCATTTGGATTTAGAGTGCATCTTAGAATCTCTGCCCACTTTTAGTATAATTGAGGCATGCCCCAAAGTGGACACAATTGTGGAAACTCTGCCCACTTTGGGCCATTCCAAAACTGTGCCGAGAGTAGTGACAGAATGGTTCCGTTTTTTGTGGAATCAGTCGTGCATTAATTTTTTTTTCTGAATTCACGTGGAATTGGTAATTGTTCTGGTGCAAAAGTAGTGGAACGACAGCCAGCATAACTTGAAAAGAATGCAGCGTAGAAAGCTACATTAATGTTGAATATACTGAAGTGTCGTTTTTAATATGTTTAACACAGAGTTTAACACCATCGTTTCCATAATTGGTATTGCCAATGTTAAAACGTTGCCTAGTTTGAAAATACGAATTAAACACGCAAATGATGTTCCATGAAGACAATGTTTTCACTTGTCACAAACAGAAGATGTAACTTTACAATTATCATCTGAAATTCTCGACCTTTCCATGAAAGTCACGTGAATAATGTTATCAGCTTGTTACCATTTC